GTTCCTCTCCCCTTCCCCCCAGCCCTGGCTCCGGGGGACCCCGCGATGCCGGTTCGCACCGAGTGTCCCCCGCCGGCCGGTGCCTCGGCCGCTTCGGCGGCCTCGCTCATCCCGCCGCCGCCCATCAACACCCAGCAGCCCGGCGTGGCCACCAGCCTGCTCTACAGCGGCTCCAAGTTCCGCGGCCACCAGAAGAGCAAGGGGAACTCGTACGACGTAGAGGTGGTGCTGCAGGTGAGCGCCGGGCCGGGCCGGGGCCCGAGGGCCTCCTCGCGGCGCTCACGGGCCATGCCCGCCCTCGGCTCCTCGAGCCCGCAGCTGCGGACCAGGCCCTCGCCGCCGGGGCCTCCTGCACCCGGCACTTCCCACCCGGGACCTACCGAGCTGTGTCTTACACTCCGCGCCCCCGACCCTGACCTGTCCCCTCGGACCCGAGGCCTGTCGTGAGCAGCTCCTGGCAGACCCCAAACACTCTCCCAGACTTGAAGCCCGTGACCGGCCCGCCTAGGATCCGGAAGCCTCCCCCATGACTGGCCCCTCTCTGGCCTGGGTTCTTCCTTCCCGTTACCTGTCGCCCCTAGATCAGCCCTCCCACCAGTCCCTTTCAGACCCTGAAGGACTCTCCATTGGTTTCTCCAGACTCGGGACCCTCCCCATGGCTGGGCCCGGGTCGGATTCTCAGACTCTCCCAGACCTGAGACATGCCCCCTTTCCTCAGTTCCAGGAATCCGCAGACCCTGGGGCCTTCCTCCTCCTGGGGTTTCCTCCTTGGGAAGGCTCGATCAGCCCTCTCAGGTGGGGAGCACCCTCCCTCCATTGGCTGAGAGTCCCCAACTCACAACTGGTTCCTCAGACCCTGACATCCTCCCCTCAAGACCAGGCATTCACATGCTGGATGCCCCTTGGTGGGGCTCCTCACAGTCTGTTAGGATCCTGCTTCCTGGGGACGCCCCCCCATCACCACCACCACTGACTGCTTCATGCTCTTCATGGTCCAGGCACCCAGCTCCTCCCTGCTGCCCCCACCTTCAGGCTTCCTACCCCAAGCTTCTCACACCCCCTACCCCTGCTCTGTGGCCACTTCCAGCTTGCTCTCAGTCTCCCCAGCCTCCCCACCCGTACTTTCGTCTTGTTCATTCCTGGTTCCAAGGGACCCTCTTTTGTGTGTGTGTGTGTCCTAAACTTTTATCTACACAGGCCCAGGGCTTCCTCCCCATCTCTGCTACCCAGGTACTAGGAAATCTAACTCACCCAGTTTTATTTGATGTCCACTCACCTCCTCCCATTTGACCTGGATTTCTGAGTACTTGCTGCCAGTCCCTGATCAGCTTTGGAACTACAGCTTCACCTGCCCCAGCTCTTTCCCGTACCTCACCCCCTCTCGCTTGACACTTTCTCCGAGCCGAAGGAGATTAGCGGTGGTGAATACTGCTTTTTATCTCTCTTCCTCACAGAACTGTTTCTCCTCTCTACCTACCCCTGCCTGCCTGAGGACACACTTTCCCCTTCTTTGCCCTTTTTCCTTAGTCTGACACCCACCTCCTAGGCTGTTCCCAAACCCTTCCAAACACCTGTCCCCTTGAAAGCCCTTCCAGAAGCGTTGAGGCTCTGTATGCTGCCTCGCCACTCCTAGGTATGAGGCAGGAACGTACAGTGTGTCTGTTCCTCATGCTGGCCTTTTGCCCTTTTTCTGTTTTAAATCTTAGCCTCTCCTGGTCAAGTAGGTCTCCCACCCAAAAGACATTGGGTCTTGGAAAGTTAGTTCTTTCTACTACTAACTGCAGTGCACTCATCAGTCTCTCTTTTTCTTACTGTTTTGTGACAATAAATCGTTTTCTGTGTTTTTGATTTTGAAAACTACATCTTCAGGTTAATCATATCTTTGGTCTATAAACTTGCAATTGTATCATGAGCCATGGTATTTATTGAATTGAAAAACTGTTGTGGCTGAGGTATTTGTCTTCATAACTATATACCTAATGTGGTGATCTCTTTTGCTTATAATGTGAGAATCTAGTATGAAGGTGCAGGCTTTTTTCCCAACTAATCGTAAAATTCTGGGAGTAAGATCCCTGGGTGGGTCGTGTTTGGAATGGTCTTGAATTGGTGCACATTTTTTAATTTGAGGTTTCAGATGTGTTGGGGGAGAACTGGCAGGGTTGCTAGGTGTCACAGAGAAGTCTGCTTTGGTTACTGCAGCAACTCTTCCCTTCTGTCACTAGTGTGTCATTTCTCAATTCCTGTCAGGTGTCAATCTCCTCGTGAACTGGTAGAAGCCTCAGGTGGCCCAGAGCAGAAGCCTGGCCAGTGGCTGGAAGCCACTTGAGTAGGATGTCTGACAGTGGGGGCGGTAGTCATGCCAAGTAACTCCACCCTGCATGTGCACTGGTGAGCTGCTTGTTCACCATCATGACTAGTCAGCGGCATGTGAATTGCCCCATCATCTGGTTTTTCAGCCAGGACTAGTTTCTCCAACTTGGGCTTCTTGGAATACTTCTCCTGCCTTATGTTCATAACTCAGCTTTTTTCCTGCTTTCTTTCTTCCTTTTTTTTTCTAGCAGCTTCATTGAGATATAATTCACATATTATACAGTTCACCTGTTTAAGAAGTACAATTTGAAAGTTTTTAGTATATTCACAGAGTTGTGCAACCATCACTACAACCTAATTTTAGAACATTTTCATCACCCCAAAAAGAAACTTCATATCCCGTAGCCATCACTCCCCTCCAGTCCTAGGCAACTGCTGATCTTTTTTTTTTTTTTTTCTGGTTTGCTTATTCTGGACATTTCATATAAATGGAATCATATGGTATGTGTCCTTTCGTGACTGGCTTCCTTCCCTTAGCATTATGTTTTCTTTTTTTTTTTCTATAAAGATGACCGGTAAAGGGCTCTTAACCCTTGACTTGGTGTTGTCAGCACCACGCTCACCCAGTGAGCTAACCAGCCATCCCTATATTGGATCCGAACCCATGGCTTTGGTGCCATCAGCACCACACTCTCCCAAGTGAGCCACAGGCCGGCCCCAGCATCATGTTTTCAAGGTTCATCCGTGTCATAGCATGTGTCAGCACTTCATTCTTTTTAGAGCTGCTCTGCCCGTTGTGCAGATAAACGTTATGTTTGTCCACTGACGAGCTGATGGATATTTGGGTTGTTTCCACCTTTTGGCTGTTATGAATAAGGCTGGTATGAACATTGGCGTACAAGTTTTTATGTGGACATATGTTTCATTTCTCTTGGGTAGACAGAAAGCTGAGTGGAATTGCTGGGTCATGTGGTAACTCTGTTTAACATTTTGAGGAACTGCCAGCGGTTTCCAAAGTGGGCGCACCATTTTATGTTTCAATCAGCCATGTATGAAGGGTTCCAACTTCACATCCTCTCCAACACTTGCCGTCATTCATCTTTTTGATCATAGCCATATTCTAGTGGGTTTGAAGTGGTATCTTATTGATTGTGGTCTTGATGTGAATTTCCCTAATGACTAATGATGTTGTGCACCTTTTCATATGCTTTTTGAAGTACTTTGAGATTCCAGTTTAAAGAGTTCCTCAAACCTTTGCGAAGTTCTGACTGGGTCTCTTTTTTTCCTATCCTACTATGATTACTCTTTCCTCCTCTGCCGTCTAAGAAACCCAACAGTAGAGCAAAGCCTGGGTCACTGTGAAGGGAATATTAAAAGGAGCAGCTGTTGGACACAGCTGTGCTGTGAGACCTTCTTGCTAAACATTTGCCTTGTTATCTTTCTCATTGAGATGCTGGCCTGTCATTTGGTTAAAGCTGTACACATTGTGGTGTATTTGAGTTTACCAATCATTATCAACATCAGTCTGGGCAGAATGGGAGAGACACATGGTGGAATTGAGGCCACTGAAATTCTGATTCTTGAGCATGTGATAATCCATGCAAAATGTTAGCCAATTTGCAGTTCAATTTTTAATCTTATTAGCAAGTATCCTTGCCACCTGATACCCTTTCTGGCAGCTGTGAAACCCCAAACTATATTGAATTCAATGAGAATTGAATACATGAAATTTAAGGCCTCAGGTTAGAGCTCTGTGTCCTTTAATAGAAGTTCTTTCCTGAAACATGTTAGTGTAGATCAGCTGTTTTAGATAATGTCCAATGCCAAGGTCAGCAGATGAGGATATTTAAAATGCTTTGGCAGTTTTCACATGGAATACCTTTGTTACCAGCACCAAACTGTGAAGGCATTTTAGCTTCATTGAAGCTCTTTTGCTTTGGTGCTGACATCATCTGGCTGACTAAGTTCATTACAGTTTTTAAGGATTGCCTTAGTCTTTGATTTATGGTATAATTGGAAGTAGTCAAGTTCCCAAATCTGATAACTGCCACAAAGCCTTTCTAGTTTCTTGAAAAGAGACCCCACTTAGCATTAAAATCTCACCACACTGCATCTACGTTTTACCTCATTCTGCTTTAATTCAGGGGTTTACTGTAAGTGAATCAAATTGTAGAATTGTAGTGAAGTCTGGAGCTCTGCCTATTCAGGGTGAGTCTGTATAGATTTGGATGAAATGTACTAGTTGGTATGCTTTTAGCTACAAGTAACCAGGTTTTGCATTTCAAAATAGCTTAAAGAATAAGTGAACCTATTATCTAACATTACAAGGAGTTTGGAGGTGACGTGGTGCCAGGTTGATTAATTTGGGGACCCATGATGGGCCCAATTCCTTCCATCTTTCTGTGCTGCTATCCTTGGTATTTCCTGGCCTATTTCTCCTCCTGATCTCTAGATAGCTGCCCCAGGACTGGAGACCGTGTGGAGATACTACCCCCACCAGGGGAAGAAAAGCCATTTCTTCCTCATGCGCATCTTCAAAATCCAGTGATCTTTCCCAGACATACCTCGGAGGCTTACATATACATCTGATTGGCCAGAACTTGGTCACTCACCCCTAAACTGATGACTCGCAAGGGGACAGGGACATATGTTTGCCTTAGATCCATCAAGGTCGACCAGGTCTTATGGGGCCAGGGTAGGTGCCAACACAAAATCTGGGCCCCACCAGCATGGAAAAAGAGGAAATTGGTTGTTGGAGGGGCATCCATCAGTGTCTCAGCAAACAGTAATTGGTGGCTGCTAAACCTCAAAATCTACTGTGCCTATTATTCCTCTTTATTGTAGGCTCCTGACTCTTTTCATTAAGAAACATAAGCATCCGTATATGAGAAGGACAGAGCAGGCATTCATACGATCTTCAGTTTTCAGTTGGCACTTTGGTTCATAACTGAAATTTTTACTACCTTAGTCTCCAGAAGAGACTGTTCCTGAATAATCTGTTCATGTCATAAAGAAGTAACATAGGACAGTGCTCAGTGTAAATAATAGGGGAGAAGTAGACTTCTAGACCAGTGATTGAGCAACATGCAAATAGAAATAGAAAGACTAGGAAGAAAGTGCAGCTGGAGTTGGGGTGACACCACATGTACAGCTACAGATGGAGACCTTGTGCCCAGCAGTGCACGAAGTCTGTAGATCAACAGGAGACTTGTGTTGAAGACAGTGTAGAAAGTGAGGTTTGAGCGGGCTCACTGTTCCAGAAAGGTATGTCAGTCTTGAGATAATTGGCTGAAGGAAGTTCAGAGGGTCCTGGGATCAGTTTGCTTCATCAGAAGAGTCATGTGTGTAGGGAGTAGTCGTGAAGATCCCAAAGGCTAGGTAAGCCTTAGGCAGTGCTGGGCGTACACTGACTACCAGGCCTCCTTTACCTGGTCTGGCCTCACAGGATTTCCTAAGTACCCTCCAGTGTGTCCCCTAGTGAGTTCATCCATTTGTAACAGGCTATGTGTCCTTTTTTTCTAGCACGTCGACACGGGGAACTCTTACCTTTGTGGGTACCTGAAGATTAAAGGCCTTACTGAGGTAAGCACTTGTCATACAAACTAGACCTGGAAGGTCTGTGACATGCTCAGCAGACTTGTAGGGCTAAGCACAGCTCTTTGAGACGTAATTAAAGCACACTATCCCTAAGTGTTGTTACCATATGGGGACCATAAAGCAGGCAGTTTTGATGTATCCTGTTGGGAAGTATACAGATTCACAAATCTTTTAAAGAAAGTTTATAGATATGTCACAAAGCGACCAACACTACTGGTTTTATTTTTAATCCTTTTTTGGGGAAAAAAAATTGTAAGAACACAACCACCACCCTCTGAGATAAGCATCACTCATACAAGAACAGAGGTTTTAAGTTCTTTGAATACCTTAGTTCATCAAAACCTCAGAACTCCTCGGAGTTTCGAAAGTAAGAAGGAGCATCCTTTTCCATCAGTGAGTAAACAGGAAGAGGAAGGAGGTGACTGAACTGGCCGCTGAACTCCACCGTGAGTGCCCGGGCTTGGCCCTGGCTGCAGTGTCCTTTGGCCTTTTATCAGTTCTCCTGGTCTTGATGATCCAGCAGTATTTTGCTGTGCTGGACAGAGGAGGGAAAGGGGCTGGGGTGACATTCTCACTCTGCCCCTTATGGTTCTCTGACCTTTAATTTCTCATTTCAGTTTCATCATCTGTAAAGTGAGAATTAAAAATCCCTGCTCTGTCTACTCAGTCCTGGGGGGAGGAAACAATGTAAGTGGTCAACCAGCATGTGATACAAATGTGGGATACTGTTGTAAAGCCCTGATTAGCTTCAGTCTTGAAACAGTTGTTTTGGCCTCCTTGATTACATCTGGTTCTCCTACTTTTCTATAAAGTATTAGAAGTTTGGTTGAGGATTTCCTATGAAGTCTGTTGAGACAAAAGGTATCTCTACCTTCACAAAAGTATCCAACTGGCTGGCTAGTGCAGTTGGTTAGAATGCTGCCTTGTAACACCAAGGTCAAGGGTTGGGATCCCCATACCCGCCAGCTGCACCCCTCCAAAAAAATCCCTGTACTGGTCAGACGCCCAGAAGAAACGTATCCAATTAAGTACGAGTAGAAAATGATAACAAAAAAATGGGTTCTAACCTTCGAGTTTGTGGTGAGAGAAAACATTGTAAAACAGAATACACTACTCAACTGTTAGGCAGCCAAATGTATTTGGGTTTTTTGGGGGGGTTTGTTTTTTAATTTTTTATTTTTTTAAAAAAGATGACCGGTAAGGGGATCTTAACCCTTGATTTGGTGTTGTCAGCACCACGCTCTCCCGAGTGAGCCACCCAAATGTATTTGTTAATTGGGTGCAGAGTATAAAAATTTAACTTCATAAGGAAACGAGCAGAATGTGCAGTGCATTAGAGTGTTAACACTGACTCCAAAACCAGTCATTCAGGTTATAGGAAGCTGCATAGGAAAGATAAGTAGGATTAGAAGTCTTGACACAGTGTACAGAAACTCTCCACCAGGAACAAGTAAGCCTTACTAAGGGAAGCCCCTCTGAGCCATGAACCACAGTCAGGCTCCCTTGAAGACAGGGTGCTGGCACAGCCCTTCACTGTGGGCCAGCCCAGGGGGAGTCCTAAGCTCTAAACAGAGCCATGGAAACTCCCCTCCCCTGGCAAATCCTTTGGTCTGCAGATGGAGTGGCGTTGAAGAGTGTGCGCCTGTCCAAGGTGGGCTGTGCCAGTCAGGAGTGTTCGGCAGGGGCATTTAGCAGAGAAAACCTAGCATGTCTCCTGGGATCCCCTCAGGCCTCCTCAGGACTCAGGGTGCTTAGAATTCTTTTTTATAACTTTTTTTTAGTAGCTTTATTGAAATACAGTTCACATACCACACTGTTCATCCATTTAAAGTGTACAGTTCATTGGCTCTTAGTATATTCATGGCGTTGTGCATCTATTTGATAACTTTAAAATTGTTATTTATTTGGTTTTTTCTTCCTTTTTTTAAAATTGGGACATAGTTGATTGTACATATCTGTGGGGTACAGCGTTGAATATCAATACCTGTGTGCAGCATGTAATGTTCAAATCAGGATAATTAGTATATTCATCATAACACAATGTGATCAATTTTTGTGGCCCTTTACCAATTCCTCCCCGCCACCACTTTTCCCACCCCCGGCAATCTCAGTTCCGTTCTCTTCTCTTACAAGTTCAACATATCATTGTGAAAAATTTTAAATCTAATATATGTTTGCTGTAGATAATTAGTAAAATGCCGAAAACTATAACGAATCTTCAAATGAATTTTATACCTGTATTATCTGTTTTTGTTTGCTTTCCCATTTATAATTGTCAAATATCAAGTATATAGTTTATTTTAATTAGACTATTTAAATGGTTCAGGTCAGGGCCACTCTCTCGGGAGAGTGTGGTGCTGATAACACCAAGGCCATGGGTTCGAATTCCTATATAGGGATGGCCGGTTATCTCACTTGGGAGAGCGTGGTGCTGACAACACCAAGTCAAGGGTTAAGATCCCCTTACCAGTCATCTTTTAAAAATAAATGAATGAATGAATGAATGAATGAATGGTTCAGGTCTTAGTTGTAGTAGTTGTCTTCCCCGTGTACACGGCGTGGAAAATTAATTATTAAATTGGAGATAATTTGCCTCTTAGCTACTTGACATTCACAAACAAAAAGCACAACTTTTTTTTTTTTTTTTTTTTTAAAGATGACCAGTAAGGGGATCTTAACCCTTGACTTGGTGTTATCAGCACCACGCTCTACCAAGTGAGCCACGGGCTGGCCCCTAAAAAAGGCACAACTTTAAAGTTTGTGTGCCTTCTAGAAATAAAATCCCAGAATCATAAAAAATGGGTATTAAATAACATTCTCTTTGCATTTTTGAGCCAGCTGCCAGTAGGGAGAGGGGACCTTTCCCCAAGAGCCTAGCCTTGGGGGTTGGGAGGGTCACAGTTAGGCCCTCCACTCACTCATTAGATGGGTTTGGAAGGGTTTAGAAGCTCCAGCTGAGGTTGTGCTAGACTTGTTTAGAACCAGGGAGACAGGTCACAGTAACCAGACTCACTAGAGACTAATGTGTAAACAGACATGCCAGTCTACTCACAGAACGAGGTACATGCATGTTCCAGAAGTTCTCATTGACTTACTGGCCAGTTGAATGTTAATCCCCTAGAAGACATGGCAAGTCAGGGTACCCATCATCAGACAGTTTTGGGTGAGCCTGGAGTCAGTGAGAGGAGTGGGTTGGATGACTTAAATGGTCGACCACAGCTAGACCCACTGGAGGAAGCCCACTCCTGCTTTGTGAGGGGGTGCTGCTACAGCTCACCTACTCTGACTTGTTTTTCTGACATCCCTCTTTCTATTGACATGGATTTTTTCTTTGGCTCTGTAAATTACCCCAAATTTGGCTGTTGTCAGGTGCTTGAATTTCTTGTTCCTGCCCTGAGAAATACTTTATCTTTTTGCTGACTTCTGTACTTATTGAATCTCATTCACTAGGTATTTATTTTGTTTAATTCTCAGAGTTTGGGGGTAGCTTGTAACCAATCTGATGTACTGTCTAAAGGGTTTTTAGAGAAAAGCCAGTGCAGAATCATTCTTTAGGAAAACTGTGGATTTAAACCATAAATATTTTAATTGCCTAATACAATTAGACATTTTATCATTTTGTTCTTTTATCTCTTTTGTGGAAGTTCTGAAAAAATATTAAAGCTCAAAACTTAGAAAACAATATATATAGCTTCTAGCTTAAAATCTCATCAGGTGCTGACCTACATGGAACTTTTCCCTCAGTAGTCCTTCCTAAAGCAGATTAATATAGTTTCTTTTATACCTTAAAAATTAAGTTTCCATTTAGGAAAGTTTCTCCTTTTTAATTTCTTCCATGTATATATGAACATCTGTGTGAGGAACCCAGCAACAGTGTTCGGGTAAGGGGGTTGTGGTTTGGGGGGAATATTAGATTTATAATATTTTGAAGTTCACTGTTAAGAAAACAGAGTGCCTCAGCAGTGTCACCATAAAGCAGGCATCTTCAGTCACCTAAAACAGTGGTGGCAACTGTTTCCTGGGAGCCTCTGAAACAGTGGCTTGTGCTGTGGCAGCATCTCAGGAAGGTCCTGAGCTCCATTCAGGCCAAGTTGGCAGAAGTGGCAAAACCACCAGAACTAATTTATTTTAAATATATGTAGATGTTTGAGGGGCTTTCTGAAGAAAAAAAATGGGAACTCTAGTCCTGGGGATATTAGGACTGTAATCTGTAGGTTGCCAGGCCAGTGGTTCTCATGACCATGCTCCCAAGAAACACCAGGGTCTTGGCAAGCCAGGCTGAGGGGTGGGTTGCTTTGTTGGTTGGTTTTTACAAGTGCAGAGAAATAGTAGACTTTTTTACTGTTTCAATTTTTCATTATTTTTTCCCTAAATCTTTGGTGCCTACTTATTAGCACATAAACAAATAGCAAGTAAAATTAATAGAGCACTCTAAGCAGCATGTGACAGCTTCCTTATTTTTTTCAGTGGCATGTTTTTTAATGGTTGTGATTTTACTTTGTGGACATAATGTACATATATTTTCCCTCATATAAATTGTTCTCAGTTCATATGATAAAATTAAATGTAACCATATTATATCAAGGTATTCTCCCAAAAAATACACCCCTAGAAACTTGAAGAATTTTTTTTATAAAAAAACAAACAACTGAGCCAGTGTGAGCACCAGTGGAACGGTCCATGGTTTGAGGGAGACTTAGTTGTAAACATTGTGATTTTGGAGCCTCTTAGGGTATATACATTGGAAAGCAAAATCTACTAAGTCATAATCTTCTTTGTGTGATAGAATATTCAGAATTTACTTGTAGTGGAAATCATCCAAATTCTTTTCTGAGAGAGCAACACATAACAAATGAAGTCAAAGAAGGGTTCTCTGCTTCTGGCAAAGTCCAAGAGACCCTCCACTATCTGGACAGTCCAAATTGAGATTCATTTCCACAGCTGTTGGTAAATCAGCCGGGTCTAACTCGGGTTTGAATTGCCAGTTGGCAATGACAAGGTACTGGGAAGAAGTTAAAGCAGGGTCGATTCCTCCTTTGTAAAAAGGTGAAACTCTCATTCAACATCTTATTTTGATATTTGGACTTTTATCATAGGAGTATCCAACCCTTACGACCTTCTTTGAAGGAGAAATAATCAGCAAAAAACACCCTTTCTTAACTCGCAAGTGGGACGCGGATGAAGACGTTGATCGGAAACACTGGGTGAGTAAATCTCTGATCTGCGCTGGGTCGTCCAGGGACTGCTGGAGGACTGGTGAAACGCCTGGCGCCAGAGGCCTCATTTTCTATTAGGAGTGATCTGGGGCTTTGCAGCCAAACTGAGGCCTGTTCCTACATAAAAATCTTGTGGTTCCATCTCCTTCGGAGGAGAGTTTAGGTACTGTCTGACCCACCTTTAAATAGCAAATGGTTATCTGATGAGAGCAGTCCCCAGAGTTCCAGCCAAAACTTTGTTTAGCAATCAGAATCTGCACAGTATCCCCCATCCTTCCCTCCATCTGTCCATCTGCTGTCCACTGTTCCTTTCTGATCACCTCTACTTGGAGAAAACCCTGTGAAGCATCCAGCAGTCAGCTCTGGCACCAGGGCGGGCCCGAGACAGAGATGCCATTCCTGGGGCCCACCTCCCACTGGCTGGTCCGTGGGGGCAGGACCACATTGTCGCTTTTCATCCTGGCTCCCAACAGACACAGGACAGTGTTAACTTAAGTACCATCAGGACATCACTGGAAAACCCAGGCTCCTTCCCTTCTTAACCGTCAAGTGTGGAGCATTCTCATTTACCAGTAGTGAACACTCCATGGCAACTTAGAGGTTGTCCTGGGGTCTTTCCATTGGTTGTCACACAAGTCTCGGGTTTTCAGAAATCTACTGCTCAACCTGTCATAATGGACTTTTGGCTTGGTTGACCACGGTGATGATGAGTTTTTGTTTAGCGCTGAGGAATTCCAATGTGTTTACCCTCTGTAAACCAACCAGAGATGATTGTGTCACTACCGAAGATTCTAGAATTAGTTCTCCGCATTGCTGCTCATGCCTGGCTGTCTAAACTCTCCTGATTCTGGCACAGCAGTCTGTGGAGAGAACTCCTCCTGCAGACATTGTCTGAGTTACCCTCAACATAAATCAGCTGCTTTGCTTATTAACGTTTTTCACTTTAGTTAGGAAAGGAGCATCTATCAAATGCTGAAGTTTGTTAAATTTATTTATTTACTTATTTTTAAATGATGACTGGTAAGGGGATCTTAACCCCTGACTTGGTGTTGTCAGCACCACGCTCTCCCAAGTGAACGAACCGGCCATCCCTATGTAGGATCCAAATCCATGGCCTTGGTGTCGTCAGCATCACACTCTCCCAAGTGAGCCATGGGCCTGGCCAGCCCTGAAGTTTGTTAAATTTAAATTTAAGCTCGAGCTTTTAAAAATTCTTTTTGAAAGCTACATTTTGTGACTATTGTAGCAAATGGACACTAAATACTAGAGAGTCATTTGTGTCTCTATAATAACAAGAGAATGAACAAAACCTAAGCACCCAGAAGGTTGGGGGAGCCCAGGTGATGTGTGATGGTGCTAGCATCAGAAAGCAGAGTTGGAGGGCTACCCAGTGCCAGCTGTGCCCACCCCTGCCAATGCCAGGCTCTTCCTGCATGGCCTCCTGCCTCACGAGGTGGCTTCTTCCCCTCTTGGACAGCCCCAGTGTAGAAAGTTCTTCCTTGGGCCGGCCTGGTGGCGCACTGGATAGTGCGCCGCTTGGGAAGCGCGGTGGCGCTCCCTGCCAATGCCAGGCTCTTCCTGCATGGCCTCCTGCCTCACGAGGTGGCTTCTTCCCCTCCTGGACAGCCCCAGTGTAGAAAGTTCTTCCTTGGGCCGGCCCGGTGGCGCACTGGATAGTGCGCCGCTTGGGAAGCGCGGTGGCGCTCCCGCCCGCGGGGTCGGATCCCACCCAC